GCGCTTGCGGTGGGCCTCTTGAACAGCACGGCCGAGGACGCACTGACCGACTTGCCGATCGAGCTGTCTCAGTGACACAACGTCGGTGAGCACCGGCAAGAACTCTTTGTTTTTCCTAGTGTACAATGCAGCTGGTGGTGGGAACCACTGAGAGCACGACCATGGCTAAATTAGTGTTTCTGTACCAGTCTGTACCAATGAGAAGGGGCCCGAAAACATACGTAAACATGAAGGTCACGCAGTGAATCATTCCTGGAATCCGCCTCCGAAAGCAAACCCTAAACCCTAAACCCTAAACCCATAAGATCTCTGCCTCCAAGTGTCATTTTGGGTCCCTGCGCTCCTCTTCTCCGCCTTAGGCGGAAGGTGGAGAAAAAGAAGGGCCTGGAAGCCTGTGCTTAGCTCAGGTGTTTTTAAGCCGTAGAGGTTCCGCGGCGTTCTGCATGCGGAAACTGCTGATGTGCACCCCACGGGAGCACAACGTTCTGCTGGCAAGGGCCAGCTTGCTGGATGTACTTTCCGATAGGAGCTTGAGTCCCAGCCTTCTAGCCAGCGTGTATCACAACGTGGTCGAAGGCCCTGCCTGGGAGGTGTTTTTTCTATACCGCCTCTGCCATCAGAGCATTGGTGTGTTGGCGTGGAGCGTCGTATCTGGATGTATGCGTGCAGAGGCATCGAAGTGTCTGGAAGAAGCAGGCGTGTTTCAGCAAGTAAGAATGCGCAGGGGGGCACTCGAACGTTCTGTTGTAGAAAGGTGAGAGGAGAGGGGAGATGGAGAGGTCGAGAAGGAAGACAGAGAGAGAACTAGAGAGAGAGAGAAAGAGAGATCGAGACGCAGAGAGGTGCAGCTTGATGTCATCCTAATCTCCGGAACATTGCGATGATTTTGGCGGGCAGCAAGATGGTGCTGACAACGATGATGATGAACGATGATGATGAAGCTGACGATGATGACGATGATGATGATGATAATGACGCAGAGTAAGATGATGATGACAGCGATGATGGTGATCGAGATGATGACGGCCTCCATGGAGGCAAGGAGGATGGCGGTAAGGTTCTTTGCACCACCTGGTCAGTAGAAGCATCGGCATCAGCATCGGCATCATCATCATC